AGACTGTAACTTTGCCATAAGTCATAGGTGTCAAACTCTGGTCCGCTCTTACTATTAGAGCTGGCCTACTGGTATTATACAGCTAATATATATATATTGTTTAGTATTAAGCTTTGCTTGTTCCATATTCAGTTTTCCAGCAAAACTTATTTGAGTCCATAAGAAGAGACTCATTCTTATATCTAGAGGAAGATCTTTTTTTCCAATAAATATTAATGTTAGCCCGCGACTTTGTTCCAGTTTTGAATTTTGGCCCACTAATTATTTGAGTTTGACACCCTTGTCATAGGGGGTCTTCTGATTGTTGAGGGTTTCTCTGTTTTCTCCATCTTACAGCAGGGTCTTGCCTTAAAATATAGTGCCATGAGGCAACCGTTGTTATTTGGCGTTATATAAATAAAAGTGAATGAATTCCAGCAATGCACCTTAAAGATCTTGGAGGACTGCACAGCAGCATGTCTCGCGTGGGCAAAACCCCAATGTTATGTTTTTTTATTTGTTATATTTGTAAATGAAAAAAAGATATCTTATAAAAGTTACTTTCAGTTTCACACCAATCTGACTGCTCCCTTTCCTGGAATTAAGCACACTCGTCTATTTACCTCTCTGTTTACAGACTGTTCACCTCAGGCATTAGGCACACCCTCTCTTAACACAGTCATGTGACAAGTTGAAAAACAGGAAATATCCATAAGCTCTAGCTCAAATAATTAACAAAAATATGACATGAGTGAAGATGAGGGATGAGTTGGTAGTTTCGATTCAGCTGTAGCCATATATATTGATTCCTGTGTTTTGAGTTTTCTGGAGTCTGGATTATTTTTTTTGATTATTTTGTTTGTGTTTTAGAGTAGTATTTACAGAGTTTGCAGTATATTTTTTCAGTTTTGCCGATGTTCTGTCCTTCCCCATTCTGCATTAATCTTTATTCTAACAGTATGATTTTATCTTTTCATTTTATTTTTTAATAAACATTTTCTAAGTTGAGTTCTTTTTAGGTTGTATTTTGAGCTTGGATTCCTGTTTTTCATCCCACTATGAGCTATTTATTTAATTATATCGTTGTTTAGTTCCAATACTGTTAATATTGGTGATATTTTGTTACTGTCCTCTATATTTACCTTCTCTGGCTGATGTCAAGCTATTTGGCTGGTTGACAGGATATTTATACCCATGATGACTTCATGTCAGGTCAGTTCAGTTCAGTTCAGTTTTATTCACATTTAGTTCAGTCACTATGAGGAAGCACTTGGCAACAGTAGGGAGATAAAACTCCTTTTAGCAGGAGGAAGTTTCCAAGAGAACCAAGTTCTGGGAGGAGCAGCTCTCCACCATGACCAGCTGGGGGTGAGGAGAAAGAAAAGAGAGGAGAGAGACAAGACAAAAGGCAAACTACCGAAGAGAGTTTAATAACTGCTAAGTGTTAAATACAGTAGTGGTGCAGAAACCCAAAAGGAGTGAACA